GCTTTAGCCTGTATCGATGTTATTAAAAATAGGCATGGAAATGTTATTTTAGGAATTTAATTATGTCTTAAGTTCACCAGGGGAGCTCCTTACTTAAAAGGATCCAACGGTGAAACCTTTTGTAAATCATCCACTAACTTACCTGGATTTCATGGCAAGATCCCCTCAGTGAGTTCCCGAGCACAGACTCTGGTATGAATTCATGTATCCATCCATGCATTCACCTACTTGAAAAATATGTTCCAAATATATACAAGAGGAGATATTCTGGCACACAGCAGGAAAAATAAGAACTAATAAGCTATAATCTTTGTCCTTAATACATTTAGTTCAGGAAAGCTCTCTCTCTCTGCCTCTTCCCCTTCCCTTTTTCCTTCTCTCTCTCACACACGCATGTTAGAAAGCAATATCTTCATATGCATAGTACAGTGGGGTGGCCATGTGATTAACAGCCATACCAGATGACTACATATATTACTGCTAGCTCTCAAAGCCATACAAGGTATGTTCTTTTATCTCCATTTCACAGCTGAGCAAGTCACCAAACCCCAGGACACTCAGAAAGGCCCTTGGAAATCTCGTCCCTCAATGCCTCTTAGAGCAATCCTGCTTGACCTTCACCTAGTGCAGCACCAGACACTTCTTTCAAGGAATTTTGGTCAAGGCATGTCTCAATTTTGGAGTCCTCTAAAAGTGAGAAATGCCCCCTTGTATTGATTCACAGAATCTATCTACACAAAAGGAACATGAGATGAAGATTATTAAAAATGAAGAAAACCACCAAAGAGGATAAGTTACAACAGCGTGGGAGGAGAAACCCACCACCTGTTTTTCCCTAAGTCTTTGAGGGGGCAGAGAGAAAACAGAAAGCTTTATAAAAATGCCTCAAATTTCTACTTGAACTTGCTCCAAATTTGTTTCTCATTTCCCTTTCCAGCAACAATGACCTACCTAGCATGTGTTACTTTTTGTGTCATAATCACAGAAGTTCTGGGCAAACTCCAAAATTCATGAGCTGTCATCACCTCAAATAACACAGAAAAAATATCTGTATTTTAGTCAAGAAAACCAACAGCAGAGAAGTAAAAAAAGTGAAAATCGCTCAGTCGTGTCAGACCTGCTTGTGACCCCAGGTACTATACAGTCTATGGATTTCTCCAGGCCAGAATACTGGAGTGGGTAGCCATTCCCTTCTCCAGGGGATCTTCCCAATCCAGGAATCGAGCCCAGATCTCCTGCACTGCAGGCGTTTTAATATTTCCAATAGACACCTAAATTATTGTTAACTGTTTTTCTCAGTGTAATTCTGTATGAAATATATCAAAAGGTGTTCCCCTCCTTTTTCCTGTTCTTGGTATAAGGAAAATACATCCAAAGATATAAAGCAATCTTGAAATTACATTATTATTAACAGTTAATGATAATAATCTTACATTTATGTTTTGTTTCATTTCTCCTATGCATGATGTTTTCACCCTAAACTTAGACATTATGACCACTCCTTTTTAGAGTAGAAATAACTAAGAACCAGAGAGACAGTTTATCCTCAGATGCGTGCAATAGGACTGAAACACCAGTCTCCAGGCTCCTCAATACAGTCCTCTATCCAAAAGCAGCCAGTGGGCTGACCGGGTGGGCTGCTACAATAACCAGACCAGCATCATTCACCAAACTCCATCCTGTACCCAAAGGCAACCTAATGATGAGAAAGGACACCACAACCCAAGGGCCCCAGGACCACCAACACCAACTCCTCTCCCTGTTCCACCTCCTAAAACATATCACTTCCTCATCTGTATTCTTCCCAGAACTTTTCAAAAGCGGGAACACAAGAATCACTGTGAATGCTAACTAGAACATTTGCTGGGGACATTTCAGCTCAAGGGAAATACAAGGCCAGAAGAAAAAGAGAGACATGTTCCAAATCTCCACACAGTTTTGTTTCTGAGTCAGGCTAACAGCTGCTCAAAACCCCAGGCTGTACCAGTGTGATCAGGAGCTGGCAAACCTTTTCCGTAAAGGGCTATATGATAACAGTCTAGGCTTCTTGGTCAAACTTCTGTGTAGTAACTACTGAACTCTGCAGTCTTAACATGAAAGCAGCCATCAACAAGAGCCAACAAAATGGATACGGTTGTGTTCCAATAAAACTTTACACACAAATACAGGTGGATGCTGGTAGTCTGCCAAGCCCTGAACTTGAGGACAGTTTGTTTGCTGAACCCTCATTCCCAAATCTCAAATGGGCAATTCTTATGAAGTATGGCTGATAGAATTTAGCTTGCTGAGCTCCAAGTACTACCTAAGGATCTCCCAGTAACAATCATAGTACCTAAAACAGAATTCCAATAACAACAGTATCACCAGTAACAAAAGTACTAATAGTGTGAAAAACAGCAAAAAGTGGAACATTAGGCACTTTATGCCCGGAATTTGTTAAATTTTTCATACACACCTCATTTCATTCCCATTAACAGCTTTATGAGGGAAGTGCTATTAATCATTCCTTTTTCAAAGATAGGAAGACTGAGGCTCCAAACAGTTAAATGCCTTCCCAACCTCATGAAGATATTAAGAGGTATTAATGGTAGATTTGAACCACAGTCTACATACGTGACTTGAAAATTCACACTGTCACACACAACACTGCCCCCTCTCCAAAGTATACCGGTGCCTTATCTTAGGAAGAACTAGTACAAATTTGTGAATTAAGTCATGGGGTTAACATTTGGACCATTAAGCCCCTCTCTCATGAAGTGGACTACTTCACTGTTCCTCAATTTAAAACCATTTCCCTCTACAAATAATGACCTTTCGTTTGGCAGTTCAAGTGCCAAAGAACACCCTAAGTGTTCTTGATGTGAAAACTAATACTCCATCACTTTGCTGAAAATAACAATTCATATCATGGAATGTTCAAGAAGATGACTATAAACCTCAACTGGTAACTCTCTTATGCTTTTCTTCTCCTTTTACTTTTGTTTTTCCCATTATGCCTAGCAAGCTACTTCGGTGATTCTTCCACGCCTGTCTATACCCTTCTAAGGGATTCTTCAAATAACTGTCTTATCTTGGCTCCAGAAAAAAACACAGCTAAAACAAGGGTTGACAAACTATAGCCTGTGGACCCTATCCAACCAGCCACCAATTTTAGTACAGCCTGCAAAGTAAGAATGGTTTCTCTATTTTTAAAAGGTTGAGGGGAAAAAGTCTAAAATCTAAGATTTCCTGACACATGAAAATTATAATAAATTCAGATTTCACTGTCATCAATAAATTTCCATGAGGACACAGCGAGTTTGTCCATCTACCTATGGCTGCCTCTCCACTGTGACGACAGACTTGAATAGCAGCAACAGAGACCACATGCCCTGCAAAGCCCAAGACTACCAGACTCTTTATGAAGTGCATGCCAACCCACTGAAGATAAACTATTAGCTTTTCCACCAATAGAAGTTTTCAAATCCAGACACAATGCATTCCAGAAATACAAAATGGAACTCATCAAGTCCAGAGTTAAGAAGATCAACCACTTCTCCACCCCAAAGACCATACTACTAATTATGCCCAGTCTTAACTAAATAATGGGAAAAGTCACTGCCATCTGCAACTGTACATGCTGATGTCATGTAATTTCCAATCCCCCAACAGCATTATTTTCAAAATTGATGAACTGTAAACAGCAGGCCACTTTATGCCTCTTCTTAACTTCTATCAGAGCCACAGAGAACAAAATGATAAATTTTCTTTGGGTTTCTTGCCAGGAAGCCATATATATGTAACTTCGGCTTTCATCTCCCAATTTCCTTCATTTATCAGAAATGGTGACAAAAGGGTTCTAATTAGATACTTCTAATCACAAGGAATGGGGTGTGATGGAAGACTTCAGAATCACTATCTGTTCCTTGCAAAACAAAACAGATAGGCTATTCTCCCTAGAGGGGCAGAAGATTTATCAATAGACAAAAGGATGAAAAAAGCCAATAGATAAGGTATAATTAAAGACCAGACCTATAAATTTTACACTGACATAAATGTAACAGGATTTGCAGGTAGAAATTCAGGGTTTAAGACCAGGGTATAATAATGACAATAATACCTTTCAGTTCTACGAGCAACAACATAGAAAATGCATACATTTATTATTGAGACTAATACTCTGTGCCTCCAAGCACTTTCATAAAAAAATTTGAATTATTCAGTGCTACAGGGATTTCCAAAGTGGTCTGTCTTGCTCAAGAATTCCTCCTTAATTAGCTAAAAACACATTTCTCATATATTTCCGAGCATCAAAATCTCTTTTAGAAATAACAATCCACCTATCTTCTTTTTGACAGTTGTTAGATGCATAAACCAGAAAGGCCTGTATATTCTTGTAGATATTTTTTCTCTTGCCCCTTAAAATATAAGAAAATTATTTCCAAATTAGTATTCAGAGTTGTAACAATGTGTACTCTCTCTTCACTGACTCCAAGGCAAAAAGTGAAAATAAAAATTGAAAAGAGCTACAGAAATATCGCAGAGGGCTGAAATATATAAAACTAACAAGATCTTATTAGAAAATAAAGTTGCATTTCTTAGATCAAAGCATAATAGGTCATTTTGATACGTGAGGCTTTGTAATATTTAGCAGATATTTAGCAGCTCAAGACAAGGCTTGTATTTTCTGCTCTCTGAAATCACAGCCTCTGGGAAGAGACAAGAAAAGGCCACGTCTTTCAGAAAATTACAAGTTTGGTACAATAACTCATTAACAAGTAAAGTTCAGAAATAAATGCAAACTGAGGGGAAAAGGCAGGTTGCAGAAACAGGTGGGAGAGATAAATTAAGGAATTTATCACACTGAGGAAAACAGGCTTGAATATTTCAACTTTCAGGGAACTACGAAAGGTTGGAACAAACAGAAATCAGGCGTGAAACTGATTAAAAGTGTGCCTTTGAGCGAGTGTAATGGGACGCGAACTGACCCGTATGATCGCGATGGGAGCCAGTCAACTTACCCGAGTAGGCCCAGTACGGGTCCCCGGAAGCCTTGCGCCTGCGGATCTGCGCCTGCGCCGAGCTGCCCTGTCTGCTGTGCAGGGTCCCCACGTAGCCCTCCGTCAACGCTGCAAGACAGGGGAGCTGCAGTGAGTCAAAACCGTCAGCCCGCTGCACCAGGACGGGTGTCAAATGCACACAGCCCTGGGACCGCCGAGAAGCACAGACCCTGGGGAAGCGGAATAGAACTTGCTGACGTTATAGAAGAGCAGCGGCAGGAGAACCTCGACAGATCACCAGGGTTATCATTAATACAAACAATAGCTTGTGTATGCGTTAGGTCGCTCAGTCATGTCCAACTCTTCGCGACCCCATAGATGGTAGCCTGCCAGGCTCCTCTGTTCAAGGGCATGTCCAGGTTAAGAATACTGGAGTGGGTTGCCATTCCCTTCTCCAAGATCTTCTTGACCCAGGGTTCGAATCCTGGTCTCCCACACTGGTAGGCAGATTCTTCACTGTCTGACCGAACTACCATGAAACTTTTCTCCCTACCATGAACCCAAGGTGCACTAAACCCTTTACATGAATTATCTTATATAATCTGCAACACACCACCAGGCAACAGATGCAGTGTTTCAGTAACGGGCCCATTCTATTGATAAGCAAACTAAAGCTTAGAGTAGTTGAGTAACTTTAACAACTAGTAGACCTGGAACTCACAGTTTTGGTTCCAACTGTGTGTATAAGCCTATATCCTAGGTGCAAAGTGCTTCCAGCCTTATTGAACATTCACTGAGCAAGGAGTCATTCCACCTCTTTTACAGACGGAGGAATGAACGCTCAGTGACACTGAGTATGCAGCAGATAAAGGAATCCAACATAAGCATGCAAGCCACAAAGCTCGGGCCTCTACCATCCAAACACAGCACAGTCTCAGGCCTGGAAGCCACCCTGTGGTAAGAACCAGTCCTCCACAAACTCTGTATCCGAGAGAGTCACCTATTATATCTGAAGATATGAAACTTGAAACCCTCCAAGGCCAGCAATGCTCAGAAAAGAAGCACTGTTTAATGATGCATTTCTTTGAAAACTCAAAATGAATCCAATTTTCTACCCCATTATCAACAGCTTCCATCTGCCTGCTACAGTGTTCAAAGCCCTCCCCTCCTAGCCACTTCATGGATGCAAATTTCTTCTGTGGTGAGCCCACACCTGATTGCACTGATGTGTCAGAAGACAAGCATCACAGGTGCCCAGAATCCAAAATGAACTGGAACTACACTTCAAACAATACATCCCAGCTGTCTGTGTTAATATTTAAATGCACCCAAACAAAATCAAGTGTGCCTTTGAAAAGCAAGGAAAATGCTTACAGGAACTATATATTCAGTTTAAGACTCTGAAGGCACCAGGAAAGCACAATACATTCTCTATTCAAATTAGCCAGAGTAGTGATAATAATAATCATCTCACCATGATGGTATTAATTTTGTTCACAATGTGATGGTCATGAAGAAAAATCAGGGAATATGTAAGCATTACACTTTTTGCTTCCATGTCAATTGCCAAGACTGGCTTTAAAAGGAATAAGGCTTGAACAAGAGCTACTCCACAGATATAAGCCCTTTAGAGGGAAATGAGAATCTTATAAAATCCAAACATAACATCAGTAAACTGGGTGTCATGTATGCCCACTGTTTGGTCCTGAATGAGAGAGTCAAAACCTAAGTTACTAAACCATTTTATAAGAATGATGAAGGTTTAGGTACATATGATCCAATCCATCCTATGCTCTTGCAGGCGAGCCATTCAGAATCTCAGAAAGTTGGTCATTCTAAGCTTCCAGGGATCAAAAACAAAATTTCCCATCTCTTCATCTATTTTTTTCCTCCACTAAAGCAAACTAGTTGCTTGACTTCATGATCTGTTCATAGCAACTTGTGTTATCTTCATAATGACCCTAGAGGTTGGTATTTTTAGCTCTATTTTACAGACAGGAAAACTGAGGTTCACCTACATAGCCAAATACCCATTAAAAAGTTTCCTAATTGTTCAGCTTATTTCTGTGTATATGGGAAACATTTTATGTATCTGTTTACTACACTTCTTAGAGCTAATTCACTCTGAATAGTTACTCCCAGTCTATGGCCATACCACCCTGAACGCGCCCGATCTCATCTAAATAGTTACTCCCAAATAATCCTTCCTCTTTGTACTAGGAAAATGACTAAAAACCGTGCCCCCATTCCCATATATACCATGGGGTCAGGGGCATGGTTTGCAGTGATTCAGCAGCGTAAGTCAAACAAAGCCCACCTTTGGAGCTGCCAGGGCAACAGGACTGGCTATCCCATCCATGACTTGTGACCTAGCCGGTGGAGTAGGGTATGCAGATTACCAAAACAGAGACACTGCAACAAATTTCCACTATGTTATCAGGTATTTAAAAAGTACCACATGCCCAGAGCTGAAAAAGGTGCTTTGCTCAGAGTCCCTGGTGTCATTCTTTATGCCAATCCTGTGAGGTTGGTATGTTTAGCTCAGTGATATAGATGTTTGGGAATGGGGACACCAGCCAGTCAGAGAGAGTCTTCTCTCTCTTACTGAAGGTATTATGACAAAAGTTGAAGCCTCATGGGGGTGGTTGAGAGTCAAGCACAGGATCAGCAAAGGTGCTCAAAATGGAACCAAGCCAGATAATGCAAAATCTACGGGTCAATTCTGCTGAAAATATTGAACTCAGGACAAAGTCAATTTGAAATCAACCCCTGGAAAGCTTATAGTTACATGACCAATTACCTACCAATGCTCACTTTCCCCCCCAATGTCACTAATGTGACCTTGGTGGCCTTCAAACAGGATACAACACCCAAGAATCAATTTTTCCATGCAGAAAATGCTATTGTTGGACTAGAGCTCTCTCAACCCCAGCTGCTTTAAAAACAGAACAAAAATTAAAGACCCTATATTCTGGACCCTGCCTCCAGAGATGCATCTTTAGTCTAAGGTGTGGAATCAAAATAGCAGCATCTTTTGTTGTTGTTGCTAAAAGTTTTCCAGGCTATTCTGTTTTTCAGCCAGCGATAAGAACCATAAACCTCCCTGTGGAGCTGGATGTTAGGCCCTGTACATCGTGACACTGTCCACTCATGCTCACAGCCTGTAACTTGCCAGGTTAAATAAGCCTATTTTAATTTTAGTAAAGAACTGGCCAAAGAAATGAATGGCCTACTGCAAGAATCACACCAGTGTGGCATCAACCTGAGCACTTAAGACAAATATGAACTGAACCAGAGTTCCAGCCAGCTTCTGCTCACAAACAAATGAACCAGGTATAAAAAAAAAAAAGAATAAGGTTATCCTAAAGGATATTAATTTATACACTTTATACCAGACCCACTAGAATCACATTCGCCACTCCCAGTACCCCAATTTTCTTTTTTTTTGCTAGAAAGTAAGTGTTTTACTTCTCAGTCAGTTATACATTAAGCATGTGTGCATGCTAAGTCGATTCAGTCATGTCTGACTCTATGTGATCCTATGAACTGTAGCCCACCATGCTCTTCTGTCCATGATAGGATTCTCTAGGCAAGAATACTGGGAAGTAAAAAGTAGAAGTTGCTCCGTCGTGTCTGACTCTTTGTGACCCCCTGGACTGTATAGCCCATGAAATTCTCCAGGCCAGAATACTGGAGTGGGTAGCCTTTCCCTTCTCCAGGGGATCTTCCCAACCTAGGGATCGAACCCAAGTCTCACACATTGCAGGCACATTCTTACCAGCTGAGCCTCAAGGGAAGCCTAAGAATACCGGAGTGGGTAGCCTGTCTCTTCTCCAGCGGATCTTCCTGACCCAGGAATTGAACCGGGGTCTCCTGCATTGCAGGTGGATTCTTTACCAACTGAGTTATCAGGGAAACCCTAAGAATACTGGAGTAGGTTGCCATTTCCTCCTCCAGGGGATCTTCCTGATTCAGGGATCAACCCACATCTCCTGCATTTCCCGCATTGGTAGGCAGGTTCTTTACCACTAGTGCCACCTGGGAAGCCCCTTTATTTCTCAGAACCTTTGAGAATATCAGGGAGCAGCAAAGAAGAACAAAGCCCACCAGCGGTTGCATTACCCATCTTGCCGGCAATGTGGTGCTACGGAGGCCAAAGCTTCATCAGGTAAGTACTTTAGCCAAGTACTTAGAAGGAGATGGTAGTCCCAACACTCTTTACCTGACTGCATACAAGCCAGAGGCTTTAGGGTCTCACATCCGGCAGCTATCCAAGCCCACTAAACTATTAGTGACAAAGCACGTCTACAAAGATATGGCCAACTCAAGACACAAGGGAGGTACACATCAGAAGATGCTTCCCCTGACTGTGTGAAGGAACAGAACCCATACCCCGAAGTGCAGTTATTTTCCCAGCCATCCAAACACATCACAAGGTAGTGCAACGCATCTGCCCTGGGCAGTGGGACTGCCTGTCTAAAGGGGGTTTCACTTGGGCCAAAAATAAGGGGCATGGCTTTGCTGTATAAAGACCAACAGACCAGAAGTGAAGAGGCCGGGGCCATCCCACGGAGAGTGGGTTAACTTGGCCATCACATCCCCCAAAGTACTTAGGAATGACATAGGTTGAACTCAGCAAGGTGAGAAAGGGCAGGAAGACCTGCTTTGGAAGGACATGCTATATAACCTATGAAGCGTGTCAATGTCCCTGAGACAAACAGCTCTCAGCCTACCTCACCTGACAGAGCTTAATATATGGGATGCGTTCAGTAATGAGTGAGTGAGTGAGTGAAAAACTGATGATGCCTATGTTAGAGTCTACAGTCTGTGTGTGTGTGTGTTAATGTGTGCTTTCATGAGCCACAAGCAAAAACACTGTCTTCTTCCCTACTGTCTCGCTTTTTAATCACTGCTCAACTATCAGAAAGAGCAAACATCTAAACCACGAAGCTAGAAGGAACTAGCTGGAGTATCTAAAAGGCAATTTTTAGGAAGCAGCTCAGAAATGAACCAGGTGGCAAAGATCTTTACCACCCCAACACCAGATTTCTTTTAACACATCAACTATTCATTAAAGGTAACTATATTTAGTTTTTCCTTTTATTCCATCTATGTCAGTAGTGTATGATTTCTCCTCCTCATGAGAACATAATCATGTATTACTTGTACCGCCATTACTGAAAACACAATTTCAAGTCCCTTTTTCAAATGTATTTTGATCATATGACAAAGTGCTCCCTAAAAGCAACTTTTAAAAATTATTTGAACAGCAGTCAAAAACTGTATACAGAGTATATTAAGCAACCTAACATCTCATTGGCAAGGAGCAAAGATTTACAAAAAGAAACAATCTGTGGTTCCCAAGTAAAGATACAGACTCAGCATGCCAAATTCAATCAATTTTAATACTCTCTGTACTCTTCTAAACTCCAACAGCCAACCAACGGCAGCATGGCAATGATATGGTGAGGTTATGAATCATGCTATTGATTTTCAATATCTTCTATGCAGAAAATTGAATTATGCAAATGCATGCCTTTACGGATCCTTACCTTAATGTGAAACTGCTTACTTGCTTATGTCAGCAACTTAATTACACAATTAAAAATGGTGCATGCTTATGAAAATATCCAGTTTTACTACTCAGAACAGACAGGAAGTGTAAATCTGCCTATGGTTATCAGGTGACTGTCAAGAGGGAGGCTTGGTGTTATGCAAACATATATTCCATATTCTTCCAAGTTCTGCAGCACCAAGCCTACTGTGGCTTATGGAGGTGAAATCATCTGAGAGCAAGAAGCTCAGGAGAGCTTGCAGTGGCTTATAATACTTTAAGAAATAGGGTTCACAATGATATAACAGGTGGAGAAGAAAGAAAGAATGCCCAACAGTATACACTGCTATTCACTCCTCTTGAAAGAGGTTGTGTCTGATGACACTTGAACCAACACACACAGATAACAAACCTGGACATGAGGACTATCAAACTTGGGTAGCTTTCAAGAGTCTGGATAGTATAATAATAATATGAGAATACGATTTTACTGAGGGAAAGTCCAGCTACTCCCATCATCCAGGAGAATGTGTCTCTCAATGCTGACAGGATAAACGTAGAGATTTCAAAACCAATAGCATTAACTAGCCAATGATTCCCATGTCTCACTCAGCAGGGGGAAATCTTAAGCTGGTTGTTATGCAGAAAGCTGACTGAGTGACAGGTATTTTCATCAGGGAGTGTTCATAAACTCTATCACCTCTCACAACTTCTATGGAGCCTACTGCATTTCCAGCCTAAAGCGAAAAGATAAAAATGTTTCCAGACCCAAGGGCCCAATCCTTTCCTATAAAAATATCCTAAGAGCTTACCTACCACAGAAGATATCAACAAAATGATTTCCTATGTGCATGATTTAATTTCCCACAGCCACCAAACTGAATTTGTAACAATAAATGTTTTTTATTCTGGGAATATAAAGGCAGCTGTGTATCCCATCTGCCTTAACAGTATCTTCAGAAGGATTTGGTGTCATTCTTTACTTTCAGTGTTTTACAGAAATGTTGACTTGAGAGGGGAAAAATGTTTCAAGCCATGTTAACTTACTGGCTGAATATTTCTCACACACAGAGACTGGCTCATTTAACAACACATTAAATAACGTTCCTTACATAGATGTCTTTCCATAGGTTTCTCTGTAAGAGAAAGATCACTGAAGCTACATAAAAATAAATAGTTATGGATTGATAAATAATGCTCTCTTTCAAAATTACAAATGTGTGAACAGAAATTACAGAGTACAACTAATGTCTGTTTTTGATCTCCTATAGCAGAATAGGGGTGTGATGGTAGTTATGTCAAGGTGAAACCAGAGTCTGTTTAAGAAGAGAACAGCCCTGTACTCCATCTACAACACAGTCACATATCTTGTATCCAAAACAAAATAGTAGAGTGACACTTGAAGGTATTTCCACCTAACTATATGTCCAGTTCCAGGTAATTCTAAAGGGACTTAGAAGCCTAGGAGAATTGGTCAGCTTCCATCCAAAAATGAAAACGTCAAAGAAATTCTGGTTCCCCAGTGCCAGGATGGAAATTACTTAGGACAATGGATGGATGGCTCTCATATTAAGAGTCCTAGTTCTCTTCCAGAGTTAGTGCCAAAAAGAAGCCCACTACAATATAAATAATATGCACTCACATTTTCAAATGCAGAATGTCTATTTCCAGAATGGCAGATAAGCAGTTAAGCAGGCTGTTTATATCTATTATAACTGCTCATACAACAAACAAATTAAAGATCCCTCAAGGATGGTGAAATCTCTGTCAAGTATAATCGTCTCTAAATTTTGAGAGCATTTAACAACATTAAATCCCACACAATAGTCTAAAATGAATAAATCTTTATCTTTTTTGTGACTACAATGGGCAAAAGTATCAAATTATAGTTAAAGTAATTAAATATTCCATCAGGCTCTCATCTCCTTTTGTGCCTGTATTTCAATTAATTGCAGGAAAAGTACTTAGTGAACTTCCCAAAAAGTAGAATCAAAAAGTGCATTCCTTTGTAACTACTGCATTACAAATGTTCCCTGCAGTTGTTTGGGATACTGGGCTAACCTCAAATACAATAGATTCTATTACAGTAGATTACCTATTTTATCACATTCAGATGTACCTACTGTCCCAACTACAACAAAAAAAGTATTTTTCATCATCTAAAGTGATAAAGATAACCTAATAAAGAGCCTAATAAAGAGCCATGACTTTTTTAAGTAAAACAGATTACTAAAACTCAAAGGCAGTTCAAAGAAAGAAGAAATCACACCGCAATATAGTATCCTAGAGGGAAATAGAAAACATTTTTATAGGCTTGTAAAAATGGCTTCAGACAGGTAAGAGGCAAAATAATAAACTTCTCTTCTGCATTTTATGCTAAAATAACACTGATTAAAAAAAGGAAGATTTTTTTTCCTTTTAAATCTGACACAACTAAAAGAAACCCAAAAAACTAGAGTGATTCATCTGCTATCAACTATGTCACAGTTTTAAAAACTTCAGAAATAAAAAAACACACTTCACAATAGATCCAAGAAAAGGTACACTTAAATAACTGATTTAAACGGGGGCTCATTATCTGAAAAATATCAACAGTTCACTCTTGCTCAGAGGCACCCTCCTAAAAAAGAATGGACTCCTGACTTCAAACATCATACAGAAATAACCAATCCTCCCAATCCATTTTACTACTGCTTGGTTCTCCAAGAATCAAGTCTCTAGTTTTTACAAGATTCCTGGGAAGATCATGCATAGATAATTTTGTATTCGTGTCAACTGCCACAAATCTGTACTTCTCATTTTACAACTGTGCCACATGTTTGAATCCTTAGTGATCGACAGAACTGGCAGATTCAGCTTAGCTGTCCCAACTGGTGTCCACCATGGTGAATACAGTCATGGACTCAGATGTTTTTTCACCCACTGTAGGTGTATACATGTATTTGTGTTTAACTACTTGTCAACATGAGAAAATCTGAGAAAGAACTCTAGTATCTGTATTTATTGATAAGAAATATGAACTTTGTTCTCAAACAGAAAAAAATGCACTATATAAGCAGTGAGTGTATCTTCAGAGAAGAATCATGACCCCATCCAGTCCCATTGATGATGTATTTCTTATCTAGTTTCTATAGGCATCTGGGTTTTCCACCCATGGCCTAACTCAGTAATAAGTTAGTTACTAACTTCAGTCTTTNGCGACTCCGTGGACTGTAGCCTACCAGGCTCCCCTGTCCATGGGATTCTCCAGGCAGGAATGCTGGAGTGGGTTGCCATGCCCTTCTCCAGATAGTCCCTATGAAATATTGATTGAAAAATATTCAATGAGATGGGTATTTTTCACAGAAAAAAAAGAAATCAGCAAAGAAAAAAACTCTACTTAAGTATTGTTGGGTGTCCATTTTAAAACTATGGCACATCTTATCAAGCTTAGCAAAATGTGCCATAATGCACATTTCCAGAATTTGGAGGGAGTAAGCTCCACAGTGACAAAAATACTCCCCAAGATAACTCCTGACCACGGTAGATGGTAGAAAACATACTGCAGGCACAAGCCCTAAGCCCCTGGGCTCCGGGAACACACACAGAGGGCATTCCAACCACAACACAGCTTTTCCCTAGACACCAGCCAGTCACAGTGTGGTCAGACCTAACTAGCCTAGTGAACCCAGAAACCTGCGCCTCTGGGGCCACGTTACAGGCACTGTATAAATCCTGGCTGGCCAACCACCCTGTGGCCTCCAGCTGTCTATGTCTCAAGAGTTCTGCATTGCTAGGCAACAAAATACCCACTGGACCTCCACACTATCTGTCTCAGTAGTTCCTATCCCTTTCTTGCCAGAAGGAAGATTTCTAGCAAACATGGTAAGGCAGGTATCCCTGGTCGAAATTTCCAAGGCAGAATACAACACCACCAAGGAACTCAACAACACATACCATACAGGGAAGCCTGGTATGCTGCAGGCCATGGGGTCGCAAAGAGTCAGACATGACTGAGTGACTGAACTGAACTGAACATTACCCCCACCATCTTGAAGCTTTCCTTCCACTAGCAGGTTCAATCAATCCATACATAAATTATCATTTGTGTACATGGTAAAATAAATACAAAAATTAAGTGAAAGAAGCATGATGCAATAGGGAAAAATACTAGTACGGAAGGAAAGTAAAAAGATCAATCAATAAAGGAGATATCACTTTAGCTGAGGTCAAGACTGGTGGCGGCGGGGTGGGGGGAGCATGGATGAGGATACTGAGCCAGGAAGGACGGTGGTGTACAGAGGCCGGCCTGGCTGAAGCTCGGTGAGCCGGTGTGGAGAGGAGGAGGAGGGGGAGGAACACGTGCAAGACCCTGCAGGATGAGCTTTGAGTCAGTCTGGGAAAGCAGTGAAGGACTCCAAGTGAGCAATCAATGTCTCACACGTGCTTTCCTTTAAAACAGCTTTCTTGATACATAATGGGCCTTAGTATATTTACAGAGCTGTGCAACCATTACCATAATCTAACTGTATAACATTTTCCTCAGTGTATGCTTTGAAAACGTGACTCTGCTGTCCTGGAGGGGATACTGGCAAGAGCACAAAACAGTGGCTCATCACCTAGGCCCCCAGGGTGAGTGAAGACAAATCATTCATAAAATCTACATTTGCAGCTGTGTCGGAGGTTGGGGGTGGGAAAAGGTTGTTCACAGAGGGAAAATTTAAAACAAATAGTAGCCTAATATTCACATACACCTGACCAAAAGCCTACTTGGCTTAGTTTCAGTTTTATTATTACTTTCTACAAATTTCCCCTTTGCCCCTTTTCACCTGAATTAGGATTTGCACTAGTTTAATCAAGCAATTAATTGCTTTTACATGTCCAATTAGCAAAAAGTAATTAATTAGAGGCAAATCAGAAACATCTATTTACAAACACAGTGGAGGAAAAGAAGGTAAGAATACTTATTATCACTATATTTTCTTTTAGACCTAAATAGTGCATAACTATATTATCAGTATTGTATAAGAAAAAAATTACCTGCCTATATTATGCTTACAGAGGTATACAATACCCTACTATGGACACTGAAGGTGGTTGAATGTTTTTTTAAGCAATTTTATCATTGTTTAAACATGGACAAGCATATGGCTTTAAGCCCAACTGGCTTCTCTCTGCCTCCCCAAATGATTATCTTAAAAAAAAAAAGGAAAAAACCCTCTATATTGGCATAAAGGCAGACACACAGATCAATGGAACCCTAAAGAGCCCAGAAAAAACCCACACAGATGTGGACAATTAACTGACAACAAAAGAGCCAAGAATATACAATGGGGAAAGAAGTCTACAAAAAAATGGTGCTGGGAAAACTGGACAGCCATATGCAAAAGAATTACAACAGGCCACTATATCACACCATACACCACAATCAACTCAAATTGGACTGCAGACTCCAACATGAGACCTGAATCCATACAATTCCTACAAGCAAACAGAGGCGGTAATCTCCTTCACGTTGGTCTTAAAGATTCTTTTTTTTTTTTTAAAGGGAGGAGATATGACTCCAAAGTCAAGAGAAACAAAAGCAAAAATAAACAGATGGGACTACATCAAATTTAACCCCTTATGCATAGTGAAGGATGCATCTGTGAAACAAAGAGGTAACCAGCTGAATGAGAGAAGATACTTGTGAATGATATATTCAATAAAGATTAATATCAGAAATAAAGAACTCATGTAACTCAACAGCAACAAAAGAACCCAATTTAAAAAACGGGCAAAGGCCAAACAGACTTTTTTTCAAAGAAGACATACAGATAGTCAAGAGGCAGATAACAGGTGGAAAGATGTTCAACATCACTATCAGGGAAATGCAAATCAAAACAACAGTGACGTATATCATCTCACACCTGTCAGAATGGCTGTCGTCAAAAAGACAGCAAATTACAAGTGGTAGCAAGGATGTAGAGAAAAGGGAACTCTTTTATACTATGTGTGGAATTGTAAACTGCAGCCACTATAGAAACTAATACAGAGGTTCTCTAAAAATTAAAAATAGAACTACCACATGATCCAGTTATTCTACTTCTGGGTATTTATCCAAAGAATAAGAAAACACTAATTTGAAAGGATATATGTATCACTATGTCCACCGTAGTATTATTTACAACAGCCAAAGTATGGAATCAAGCTAAGCATTCATTGATAGATAAATGGATAAGAAGATGTAGCAGACACACACTAGAAGACTGTGTGCTAAGTCGCTCAGTCATGTCCAACTTTTTGTGGCCCCATAGACTGTAGCATTCATGGAGTCATAAACAGTTGGACACGACTGAGCAACTGAACTGAACTGAGACTGTAGCCCACCAGGCACCTCTGTCCATGGGATTTCCCAGGCAAGAATATTGGAGCAGGCTGCCACTTCCTACACCAGAGGGATCTTCCTAATCCAAAGATCTAACCTGCATCTCTTGCATCTCCTCAATTTCCAGGCAGGTTCTGTACCACTATCACCACCTGGGAAGCTGATAGAATACAACGTAGCCAAGAAAAAGAAGAAATCTTGCCATCTGCAACAAAATGGATGGACTTTAAGGGTATTATCCTAAATGAAATAAGGTAGAAAAAGATAAAACACTATGATTTCACTCATATAAAATCTAACAAGCAAAACAAATGAACAAACAATATAAAACAACAACAAGAATCACAGATACAAAAACAGGCTGGGAGGGAGCACCGGGGCAGAGGATAGGGGTGTGGGGGTGAACTTCACGGTGATGGATGGCAACTAACGGTGGGGAGCCCTCTGAAGTATACACAAACACAGGAAGGTAATGTTCTATAGCTGAAACTCACATTATATACCAATTTTACCTCAGGTTAATGAATAAATTATGTTATCGGCCTTAAAATAAAATCAAAAGCCACACGCCACTTTCACAACAACGACCAAAAGAGCCCCGTCTCTTCCACAAGTGTGAGCAATAGGACAGTTGAGGAACCCGAGTGAAGAATAATTAATAAATTAAATTACAGGAGTTCATCTTTGCACAAGTACAGAAATTTTGTCTTTAGGAACTGTTGAGGAATGTCTATAGTTATAAAAAAGTTCTCAGGGACAAATATACTTGGTGACTGGTAGGGCAATAAATTGCCAAAATACTTCTCTCTTCGTTATTCTAAGTCCATCTACAGGACCATTTCTACTTTCTGAAATTTAAGAGAAAAAAAATTACCCAAGTAATAGGGTAGTATTGCCCAGGCAACCACTTTAATGTTGATACTCTGAATATCCCAGGGCTGCAAGCGCTTTCTGTTATCTCCATTTGTATTAGGCATTAGCTTCACTTCCTTCCCAGCAATAATGTGGTTTGCTTTTTTCTCAACTGCAGAAAGAAATCATCAGAAGAAATACTGTGCATTCTGCTTTGCTTCAAGAGGAGTGATTAACTTCAAATAACACAAAGCAAGTCTCAAGGAAAATAATTTAAAAGGGCTATTACAATCTTAAATAAAATGATTTAATTAAAAACTCTAACCACATGGAAATTTTCATCAGATCACATCAAGATGGCTAAAGCATTTATCTCTAAATCAGCTTTAACTAGCTCTATAAGCAATGTCTTCAAACTAATGGTATGAAAAAGACTTATTTTGCTTTTTTAGGAAAAAGAAGTATTTAACCAAAAGCCTGCTTCTGATGAACAACTGGCAGCTACTAAATAAGCAGTTTTATTCTTGTTTTCATTTCTGGTTGTGCCTTTCTAAAACATCTGACTCTGACCAATTATATTGCAAGATCCATTTGAAGAGTCAAATGGAAAAGCAGTTTTATGACTTTAGAACAGTTAAGTTCAAAATTGAAAGTTCAGTTCTCTTCTCCTCTCCTAACTATTTGTATACAAGAAACTGAATAAAATCAATTTCAAGGAGACAATTTCAACTCTCAATGTAAATCCTTTTATGACTCCGCAATATAGTCAAAGTGGGGTTAGGAGGGGGAATAAGAAGACAGTTTCTTTTTTTTTTTTTTTTAATATAATGATGCTGAAAGGCAACTTTGTATCTTTGGAGGCTCCCCTATCAGGCAAATTGAATGGAACAAACTGTTCCTTTGATTTTTAGACAGCAGATGAGAAAGATATGCAATAAAACACTCTGAGACAAATTGGTACAAACCACGTACCAGAACTACAGGCCTGAAGATTACAGAAATCCTGAGTGAATTTTGAAAAATAAACACTCCTTTAAATATTGCTTGCAAAGGTTTATTAAACACAGTCACTCTTAAATATCACTTCTGCATAACCAGTGAGTGAGTAGTAAGTGAAAATGTGAGAAAAATGGGTGGGGTTAGAAGCTGGCAGAAACTTGAGGTTTTCCTTTTGTACCACCCCACAGTCAGGCAAACCATTTTTCTGACATTTCCCACAATGGAACCAAAAAGGCTGCATATTTTAGGCAATGTAGAAATCATACATGACCTCTCAGGTTTTATTCAGGAACCAATGTTTCTGAGAAAGGACTTTGTGAGGTGCATTGAGGACTTTTCCCTTCACTCAGTATCGGAGAAGGGCCTTTAATAGAGATGCTATAACCAGAGAGTTCATATTAAAGTAATTTTACCCAGAGCAGAACTATGCTAAACCCAGGACAAAACAGTAATGGAATGGGGAGTGGAGCTAAAGATACTGTGGAAGGGGAAAAAAAAAGGTTGTTAATATGTTTCAGAAAGAAGTATTTTTTTAACCTCTATCCCAACATCAAAAAAAAAAAATCATTCCTATAATTCCTCCTGCAGTGCTTTAAGTCTCTAAAATTAACAAAAATAATTAATAAAGATGCTGAGATAGCTAATATTTCTTTAGCACTTAACTATGTATTGGGAGGCACTGCATTCTTCAGCTGGATGATCTCATTTAATCTTAAGCAGAACTTTGAGGGGTAAATCCTCCCAGCTTTCTAGTTCCCAAGGCACAAAATTGTTAAGAACCTTGCCGAAGTCACATTACACTGCACAGGACAAAGAAAGGAATTCAAACCCAGACACTTTAAAGACACAGAATAGCAAAAATGAAGCTCCACTGAGACCTCCCTATGAAGTCTGAGGGCCTGTAACAGGGAAATAGATGGTGCATATTTAGTTTTTTTAAAAAAAATTTAGAGACCTAAACATTAACACAGAACATGTTTGGACTACTACAGTGACCTCTGAACCAGGTCCATTGTCATATTACACATTCTGTTCCAAAGACCCCTCAAGATACTGCAGTTGCCCAAACCTATGTCCCAGACGAAACAGTTGTTTTCTATTGCCCTTTAAGAGATTTCACACTGAAAGAATCTCCTGTAAAACTCTCTAGTTTCAACTAAAAGTACTATGATAAAAGTGATAATTTTCTGAAAATTATTACAAGAGCTTGCAAAGAGAATTATAACACTACAGCCTACACAGGAAGGCATTACCCTAACACCAAGTAACTGCTGAGAAAACAACTCATTCTCGCTACAACAGAAAAATAGGATGTTCCACAAAGGCATATGTTCTCATCTGAACTGAGAACTGGGGATTAGAAGAAACCCTTCCAACTATACTGTCAAATACAGGAGTTACCTGGGGCAACCCTGAACTCTGATGTGCTATAAAACCCACAAAAGGATTTCAAATGCTTAGTAAGAAAAAAATCATTATAAAGTATCTTATTACTATTTTGTTTGGGATACATATCACAATGATATTTTGAATATACTATATAAAATGAATCTCCACCTAAACTGTTGGAAACATGTTGCTTACTTTCTCTTAACACTCCTGCCCCCAAGACAAAAGGTGACCTAGAATCATTCAGTGAAACCCTCCCTTTTCCTTCTCTCTACCGACCCCAGTCCCTCAAATTAGAGGAAATCAATTGCTTCCTTTTTCCCTCTTCTATTGGGTAAGAAGCTAACTCAATGGGGCGTTGAGTGGGATGTATTTTTATAGAGGGATCTGGTCCCCTGGTTTCTCCACTGCTCTAGCTTTGCAAATGAAGGGCTCATGAATATGCCTGGAGGTCTGATGCCTTGGCACTGAAGAATATAGAAAAAAAAAAAAAAAAAAAGAATATGGCATTTGGACCACTCTTTTTCAGAAGGAACTAAGTTGAGAGGACACAGAGCATATACAGAGAAGAGAACAATTTCAATTTAGACATTACTATTTCTGGAAAACATAACTAACGAATCACTATGTTTACCCTGGGAATACAGTTGTTCTTTCTACAAGGACCGTCAGCATTTGCCTAGTAGCGCAATTGGTAAAGAGTTCACCTGCAGTGCGGGAGACCTGGGTTCGATCCCTGGGTTGGGAAGATCCCCTGGAGGGCATGGCAACCCACTCCAGTATTCTTGCCTGGAGAATCCCCATGGACAGAGGAGTCTGGCGGGCTACAGTCCATGGGGTCACAAAGAGTTGGACATGACGGAGCATCTAAGCACAGCACAGCACAGCACATGCCTTTAGGATCATCCCCAAAATCTTACATCCAAAAGCAAACTTTCTAAGAAGTCTTGGTATTTCAGAGGGTGCCCAGTTGCCTGTATCTCAGTATTGGCTTTCTAACTTCATGCCTACCTCGACACAATAGGAGGTGCCTGGGGTCACACAATCCTAAAAGCCCAAAGTGAAAATGTCAGTCTCTCAGTTGTGTCTTACTCTTTGTGACCCTATGGATTGTAGCCCACCAGCCTCCTCTTATCCATGGAATTCTCCAGGCAAGAATATTTGAGTGGATAGCCATTCCCTTCTACAGGAGATCTCAACCCAGGGATCAAATTCGGGTCTCCAGCATTACAGGCAGATTCTTGACCGCCTGAGCCACAGGGAAGGCCAAAGTCCAAATCTCTTCTTAAAGTTTTGGTGCAGGAATACACCCCTAAGATCACAATTCTCCTTGTCTACAGTGAGGCTCCAGAATAAATTTTTTTTACCAACTCCTTGTGGGATCGAATGTAGAAGATCAACAGACCACACTCTAAGGAGCACTAATTTGCTCAAATCATCATTAATTTAAAAACCCGCTGCTAAAGGGAGGCAAAGAAAATGAAAATCTTTTACAAAATAAGTTTAGAAAAATATTTTTAACTAAGCCCTGTTAACTGACATGTCTGCAGAAAGCCTTCAGATAAAAAGTGTGTTCTGCATTTCTTTCCGCTTTGGATTTTGAAGGTCATGGGACTGACAACAGATGTGGCCTGGTTTGAACCACAAAGGTCTGCATGGCTAATAACAGTGTGAAAAAAAGCACAACAGCTGAGGCACTGTGGCTGCAACAGTTGGTGGGCTACAGCCCAGTAGGACAGCCCTTGGCTCTGCCAAAACAGACGGTCTCCTCTGCAGGCCAGCTGCCCAGGAGCAGGTCCAGCAACTTACATGCCCCACGGTAACCACAAACCCATTCCATCAACAAAATCACTGCAGGCCTAGGAAGACCCATCTAAGCATACCTAAATAGCACAATAAGATGCACCATCATTTTCCAGGAGCAAATGAAATAATGAACCATTACTTTGCTAGCAACAATCTTGGGGCCGTGAAACTGATCAATAATCATATTATAACATGTCAAGGCATTCCCGTGATATATTCTTTTTTTAATAGCATTTACTGCTATTTCTGATTATAAAAGCAGTAAATATTTGTCGCAGAAGCACATTAGGCAAAGTACATTAATGAGCGGAGTACATTAAACAGACAAGAGGGTACATTAAAAACCATAAACAAGAAAATAAAAATAACCATAACCACTGTTACAATGTTGGTTTATTTCCCACCCCTGTTTCAATAATCAATGCCTTTTTTTTTTAATGTGTGGCGAATCTTTCAAAAATGCATATGTGTTAAACCTTATAACCCCCAAAGTGGAAGAATATGGACAAATATAGTCTATTTTCATAAAAATTAAAAATACCACCACTAATGGGCCACATGACTCCATCCAAATGCAACTGTCTCGTTAAAAAAAAAAAAAGCAGGAAGACTAGGAAAATGCCGCGATCACTTTAAATTCTGACATGGTCTACTGTGAACAACTTTACCTTTCTCGTGGAATAATCTAAAGCAACCAAAGGCAAACACAGCAAACTGGTGGCCACTACACACAGCCCAGAACACAATGTTCAATGTTTCATGTATATCAATCAGATCCAACATTTACAAAAGGAAAAGGACATGTGACAATCCAAGTTTACTTCTCTTTCAAAATGTTAATATCAAGTCATACAGAACCATATGACGACAGTTGGCCCAAGACACAGTTTCAGGACTCTCCACCAGCATCCCCACCAATCACTAATCTTTCATCAGCTGGGAGGCCAATTGTTCCTGCTCCTATGTCTTATTTTCAGAAAGTTACTGCGTGCCCCCCTGGTGCTTTTAAGTGAGTAGTTTGCAAACACTTTAGGGAACATCTAGTGTATAAAACAACAAGATACCCCCCAAAATAGATATATGTATGTCTGTATACAGCTAACTTAGAGATCATCTTTATTAAACACATACTACAGTGCTAAGCACCATTTTTATCCTTTCATCTTTCAATTCTCACAATACCCCTACAAAGCAAGCACCACTGTTCAACCCATTTTAGATGACCAAAACAGAGGTTTAGAGGTTAACTGATGTGCTCAAGGTAACATAGGTGAAAAGGACATGGCAAAGTCACGCCCAAGTCCAGGACAGCATAGTAAGAAAATTGTTCAGGACTCTATACTTCAATCTTCTCCAATAACCCATTCTTCTAAGAGTAACAATAAGTTAAGTCAATATGAAAGACATGAATGCTTTCTAACAGAGTGAAAGAATGAAGGGAGGATAGGGATAAGACTGAAAGTACCATAAGTCAATAAAGAAGGGGGAAAGGAATGAAAATATCACAAATAGTTCAACTACAACCT